GTGTGTGTGTGTGTGTGTGTGTGTGTGTGTGTGTGTGTGGAGGTGTGTTGGGGGGTGGGGGTGTTACATGCTCACAGTGTGACAGAGATAGAGCGATGAGCGAGGACGAGGAGCAGAGGCTGAGAGGAGAGCACACAGAGCTCWCGAGGAGCGAACGCTGAGCCAGAGAGACTGAGATCTGAGCACACACAAGARCAAATAGAAAAGAAGAAGAAGAGGAAGAAGAGGAAGGAAAAGAGGAAGTGGAACAAGATGGGAGGGAGGACAAGGGATGCCAGATGATGGAGCCCAGAAATAGGTTGCACAGGACACTCTTTCGTCCCTGCTCTCCGCAGCCGACATGACTCTCTGGGCATCGGAGTGTGCTGAAATTAGCCAGTAGGACGACAGAGGACAGCAGGTCTGCAGCGAAATGGTTCAGCCTCGCCGAATGCAGCAAGGCAGCTGATTTATTACTGAGGCGCTGGGTGGCARCGTGTTTGTGTGTGTGTAGGTTTCCATCGGTCTGTGTAGCTCTCGGAGCTGTGGGAGCGACCATTCCTCCAGTCATGAAGTGACATTCAGCAGGCAGGAGCTTCGTGTTCTGGTGTGGGTCTGGAGTCCTCTGAAGGAAGTGGGAGAGAAGGATTCAGAGCTGTCACCGTGTGTGTGTGTGTGTGTGTGTGTGTGTGTGTGTGTGTCTGTTTACAGTTCTTTTCGCTGAGGTGAGCCAAGGAAGATCAGCTGTATGTAGTGAGTGTGTGCTTAGGTTGGAGCAGGAATGGCATAMGACCCACAATGCAAGGACAAGCAGAGTAGCACCTATGGCAGTCTCTGAAGTACAAGGAGTGCCCTGGGAGTAGAGGGGGGCCGTGTGGTCGGGGAGAGGTAGAGAGGAAGAGGAGAGGACAGTGGAAGAAAGAGGGCTGACCATGGCTGTCACACAGTGAGCCATAGCATATGCTGTAGTGCAGAGCAGAGTGGTGCTGCAGGGGGGGGAGGACGAGCGAGCATACTGCACTGAGGAGAGAGAGAGAGAGAGTGAGAGAAGTACAGGAGGCAGCGAGTTCAGCACCTCTCCTTCAGCAGAGTGGGACAGGCCCGGCTGGGAACGCTCAGGTCGGCGTTTAGAGGTCAGAAAGGAGCTGGTCTGGGACGGGAGTTTGGAGTACACCCCCCCCCCCCCCCCCACCCTCTCCTGGTGGTCTCTACAAGATCACAGGCTGGTCCTGTGAGGAGAAGAGGGTAGAAGAAAGGGCCGGCTCCCTGAGTTCTGTTTCTTCAGACCGCGCTGCCATCTTTCCATCACCATGGGAGAATGGACCATTCTGGAGAGGCTGCTGGAGGCAGCTGTCCAGCAACACTCCACCATGATTGGGAGGTAAGATCGGAACCATTGTGTTGTATTAAAGTGATTATTTACCCTCATCTGAAGTGTGGGGTACCTGATTTGTAAGCTCCTCAAGGCTTGTTCCAGTACTCTCCTCTGTCCTCCCCGGCCCCCCACTTGTCCAGTCCTCCTCAATCACTTATCCTCAACACCGGTCACTAGTTAAGGGATAAACTAATTACATATAATCAATACAAGGCTTTGCTAAGCATTACATTTAATGCAGAGAGGTTCCTGTGATGATTCCACCTAACAGCCCGCAACAATCGATAGATCGAGCTTGACCACGGACCAGTCGAGCAGAAGTGAAAAGATGGAAGGAAAGAGCGCAAAGCAGGTGTCAAAGTTAGACTCAAAGGTGGGGGGCACGGGATGGGGAGCCGACCTCAAGTGAGGAGTTTCTTTTTAGAAAAGTCAGCTCACTCGCATCACCGTGAATAATGTGAGCAGGTAAAGTGAGAGTGGTTTGTGGTGGAGGGTCGAACGGAAGAGCTTTGATTGTCAGCGGAGACGAGCCATGGAGACATACTGTAAAATCTGTGTGGAATATGCTTCGCATCATCTCTGTGTGAGTAATGAGACGCTATAAGGGGGAGGGGGGATTTTCCAGCCATTGAACACAATCTGAAATGTCCCACTCGGATGTGCCTTTTTGAAAAAAAAAAAAAAAAGCATGGGCTGATGAAACCTAGATGCACACAGCGATTCGAAGAGTTTGCAGAAACAAAAGAAATTGCAGAAGTGGCACTAATTCTTAGCCTGCTTGTAAAAAAAAGTGCATTTTTATCTCTTCATTGGCTACCAAGTGCAGAATAAGCACCAAACCATAAGATTTTTGTCTTCTAAATGCATGACACAGAGATGTTGTGAGTGTTTCCAAAAAATACGTTGTTACCATTTCTACCTTCCAACCATTAACCAATAAAATCACCTGGTCCAGTCCCGAACAGAAACCTACATGTTGACTCGATTTAAAGGTGCATTAAGCAATATTTTCACGACTTCACACGTTTTCTTTCTAATACTGAAAGATGACATCTTGCTTTGAATCGTTAAGCAGTTTTAGGCAAATTTTAGCTCAGAGAGATAAAACAAAAAAAAAAATGTTGGTGCCACTTCAGAGGAAACGAACAGCTAGCCGTACGCTAGCCAACCAGCGAGAATTTGCAACAACAAACTGGAGGAGCTGGTTGAAGGAAGTGGGACATGTAGCCAAAGAACATGGTACACATATTTTTCTCTCGGAAAAGCGAACAGGAGCTAAAACGACAGTGAATATTGGAATTACATTCAACAGGTGGCCAGACAAAGGAGACCAAAGGGATGTCCGTGTTGCTCTGTTTCTGCTGGATATGTGAGTAGGCAACTGTTTGTTAATATGTCAGCCATGACAACTTGATAAGCCAGATGCTACGTGTTGTGAACTTGTTTCGGAGTCTTTCCGCCCCCTAGTGGTCAAGAAAAAAAATTACTTAATGCAGCTTTAAAATCCAGTCCTGGCAACTGAATCATAAAAAACCCTGTGAGGACAGGGTGGGAGAAAAAAAATAAACTGTTGAAATTAATCTCTAGATGATTCAAGCCACCTACAGTCTTTCAGAGGCACAGAAGCAACTCTCAATTTGTCTGCTACCTCTTTCAAACCCCTAATGAATACCTTGAATATCTAATGTTTTCATGATGAAAAGCTTAACTTGAGCATTTTGTTGGTCATGAACTTCATTATGAAGGAAAGGAAATGTGTGAAATAAAAGGAGCAGTGCATTTCTGAATCCAACCCTTTTTGTTGTCTTGAAAGTCTGGAAAAGCAAAACTTACTTTGTTGAACATTTTAGTGACACATATTTAGACAGTTAATCCTTTGAACTAGTAAAGAGCAGCTTCCCACAGCATCTACAGCTATGTGACACAAGGCTGAATACAGCGAGGAGCTCTGTAAACGATCCCTATGTGTTTGACTTCCCTCAGACTGTGTTTGTCCTACAAGGATTATAAGTTGACCCCAGGGCTTTAGATGTAATATTAGCTGCTTTCCAGAGGGGTTTCCTCCTTCTACTCTGTTGGTCTAGGGAATATGAAACAAACATCATCTTTGGAATCACTTTGTACAGTATTTAAGGTGTGTTTGGGGCTTTAGACTACTTTGTATCTTTCCAAACTGATCCTGTCCCTATATTTAGCTTGTTTTCAGGATACTATAAAATAAATCAGCGAGCTTGTCAGTAGTAGAATTTAGGCTAGACTGTAGTAGCTTATAAATAAGTGATGGTCTGGATAATTTGACTTATTAAAAGTAATTTTTAGCTGGTAAATATTGCCATGTTTAGCAATTCTACCAAATCAACTGATGATAACGAATTGATTCCAAATCTTAAGCATGTGTCTGCATGGTCAGGAAATCAGCAACCTTTAATTTGTTTTTAAATTCAAAGAATGGTGTCTATGGGATGTACCAGCAAGTTGGAGAATTGTTCACCACTGGCACAGTTTTGTGCAGTGAAGGTGCCTCCTAAATTGGTTCTGAACCGTTTCCATGCTAAATTAAAAAAAAATGAGTCCAAATTATTGCACTGACCTCTATGGGTTGAAAGGTTCGAGTCGATTGCACTACTGACCACGCCCGACTGGACGGTCGTGCGTGGTCAAGGTGTGGTGTCCATTGCACTTGTGAACATGACCAACTGTGATAAGTGTCACGAAGTCTGGCACTACTCAGGTTGTGTGGCCAGAGCATGCAGCCACTACTCGACGGCAGTAGGACCTTCCCTGTGTGTACTGTTACTTTTTCTGAATTTGCATGTGTGTATATTTGTGTGTGTTTGTGCTTGCAGCACAAAGGTTGTGGTTCCAAAGTACAAACTAGCGATATCTCCATGTGGCTACAAAGACTTCCCTTGCATCAACACTTTGGAACATTGTTGCATGTCTGTGATCGTTCTTTATTTTATTTTTTTGGACTTAATTCCTCTGTCAGATGTCTGCCTCATCAAGCTACAATTAAGCTGTTCCTTAATTGTAGATTTTAAGCTAACCTATGCCCAGGCATAGGCCAGGCAATCAGCCCAGGAGTGCAGAACGATGTTAAAAATAGAGACGGACCATCTTCGTGGCGCGGCATAGGTTAGCTTAATTATGGTCTTTGAAAGAGACAGAAAATGGAGAGTTGCTTCTGTGCCTCTGACTAACCACAGGTGCCTTGCATACGATGACTCACTCAGAGATTGATGTTATTTATTATGATTTTCATAAGCCTGTTTCCTAACTGGTCAATGTACAGTGTGTGCATGGATAACTAATGTCTGTAATCTTAATTACACAGTGAAAGACATCATTATCAAGGCTGCATTAACCTCATTTGTAGTGTGCCCTTTACTTCGAGCGGAATTAACCTGAGGTTTTAAATAACTGATTATTGTCTGAAAACTGTCATGCATAAGCCAGTAGATTCTTTTTGTTCATATAGTTTAAATTCAAGTTTGCACAAGTAATTTTTAGATTGGGTTTTTAAACAAAGACTACTTAATTGGTTTTAGGTGACAATGTTAACAATTTATGCCGCTGTAGTAGCCTTGATAATGCTTGTGTCTGTTTTAAACGTCTTGAATGTATATTTTAACATATACTTTTAAATAAAGTATTCCTCTGTGGAACTTGAGTTGCTGGTGGGCGTGCTGTTACAATGTAACATCTAAAATAGTTTCAGCAAACTTAAATAGAACATTAAATAAAAGCATAAATATTTTTGTCTCATCTCAAATTCAGCCACGTCTTTAACTCTTTTTTGTTAATGCTGGATAATAAATGTAATGCGACACAACATACTCGATCAAAATTTTCTCCTTCTTCCTATTATATAACATACTTACTCACAATCTATCAATTTATTCATCCATTTTCTGCCACCTCTGTGGTGTGGTTGCTGAAGTCACAGCTCCGGTGGGGAAACCCAGACTTTTCTCTCCACAGTGATTCTGCAAATCCTCCTGGGGGATTCTGAGGTGTTCTCAGGCCAGAGAGGAATCCATAATCCCTCCAGACATTTCTGGGTCTGCTGTGGGGGTCTCCTTCTTGTGGGACATTTCTGGAAAATCTTCACAAGCTAATCGCTTTTGTTGTGGAGCTCCTCCTCAAAGAYGGAGCTTTTTGCCCTATCTCTAAAACAGATCCCAGTCATCGGAGGGAGTTGATCCCTGCAGCTTGTTTACAAAATTTCATTATTTTGTCCAGAATCTAAGTCTCATAACCAGCTGTGGGTATAGCTGGGCTAACAAAATGTCAGCTTCACTAACCACTAATCCACCAAACAAGAATCTTAGCTCCACTAAACAGATAAAAACAATTAACTGAAGCTAACGCTAATTGCTAAGATGACTGTGTCCCATGTTTTCACCTCCTTCTAGCTGAAAAATGGTGGGACTGATTTAAACCTTTTTCTATTGGTTTGATTTGAAGGTGGGTCGGATCAGTTTCACCTTCGAGCTGTTGTAGACTCCACGTTTCATCCACAAGCAGAACTGAAACTTTGTTTTCATCTTCCATACTGAAGGCAACATGAGCACTTTGGAAGTGAAATTAACACAATGTGAAAACTGCAGAGTTACATTTTTTCTCTCCTTCCCACCACTGCATCGACCAATCACGTCTTGTCACATAGACTCTTGATTTGATAAAAAAAAATAGAAAGCTTTGTTGAATTGAAAGTTTACAAAACAGCTAGATAAATTAGCGTATTTAGAATTTAGATAAACCTTTTTTTGAGAGTGCGATAAACATTTTTAAAATTAGCAAACAAAGCAGGTTCTGCTATTAGCGAATGAGCTCATAACCATAGGTGAATGGAAAACTTCTCTTTCTGCTCAGCTCCTTCTTCATCACAAAAACCCGGAGCAACAGCCTGATAGTTGCTGATGCGGCCCAAATCTGTTGATTCATCTTCCACTCAATCCTCACTCGTGAAGAAGATCTCCTGAAACTTGAACTCCTCTGCTTGAGGCAGAGACTCTCCAGACCCAGAGGAGCAATTGAAACACGATGTAGAACATTTTATAGATGCAACTGCGAATGTTTGAACATCTTAAAAATAAAAGAAAAATGTTTCTTAGCATGAAACGATCAAACACTGAATGTCTTGCAGGCAGAACATAAAGCAGAAACATTGATGCACTTTCCACTGGACTGCAATGCTGTATTGATGGCAAGAGGGATGAAAAAAGATGGATAATGAAAGACTAGAGTGACTTGAGGGGAGATAGAGTAAAGGTTTCTGGATGGATATAAAGGAGATGTGATATGTGGAACAAAAACAAGATAGAGGAAGAAGGAGGAAAAGTTTTGTCTCTGCAGAGATTCAGTCCTGAGTATCTGTGTCAGAGCCTCTTCCTCTGAAGCTGCAGAGAGCTGTTGTACTCTTTTACACATTTTCTCTAAAAAGCCAATACTACTCTTCTCATTTTACCTGATCCTGGCATAACAACGTGTAACAATCTATTATTTATCATCTATCACTTTTCTCTCGAGTATGATAAACGATAAAATCTTAATAGATGTTTGTCTGCTGCCTGTTTGGAATTGTAACCCGTGTCAAGTCATTCATTAATCATTCATGCAGAATTGACCATCCTTTTAATGCTGTGAAGAAAGTGTATGAAATAACACGTTAAAAACAACCCCTGCACTGACAAGAAAGGGTTGAATGAGGCCGTGTGAGGCGTTGAATGTCCTCATTCCTTGACTGTAAAAGTGAAACACAGACGTCATCTGCCTCTCTCCACTCTGCAGTTGTTCACTCCTGAGGTTTTCATGGATATATGTTCTTTTCACTTTCCCCTAAATGGGTCAGGATATCCACGGGAAGGAGGTACCCGAAATTAAGAAGGGCACTCTAGTTCTCCAAGAATAATTTAAGAAGGCTGGGATGCTCTGCAGAAATCGAGGCCATCATCCTGATTAAAACTCATTCACAGTCTCCTCCACGAAGCACCGACGATCCAAACAACTTATAATATTTGAAATCCATCATCCGACGCCCAAAGGACTGTGTAAAATTCAAATGAAAGTGTTTTTGTGCGCATTCAGAGCTGTCGCTGTTGTTGAACGCTATTGATTATTTTATTAGACGGGGCGATTTTTCTGGAACAGCTGAGCTCGGCTTTCATCCTGCACAACCTATTGTTCATTTTAGAAACCAATAAATGTGTGTAAAGACTTTGTAACATTTAGCTTTTAGCAGTAAGCATACAGAACTCGTTATTACCCATGAACCTGGTCTTATGGTCCAATAAAGAAACTCTACTGCAGTGAGGTCATTTTTGTGCACAGTATGACAAAACTTTGAACAAAGAACCACAAAACCAC